TTTAAATTCGTACCTTTTGGGGTACAAAGAGTTGGCGTTCCAGGAAACGATGTGGACGCCGGCTGGTTTTAAATTCATGCCAGTGCTTGAGGAGGCGGGCAATTGCCAATCATGGCAGCAATTTTGTTGATTTTAGCCTGAATTTCGCTCTCAGGCATGAGCAGGAGTTGCATTAGCGCAGGGTTAAAGTGGGTGTTCTGTGAGGCGCGGGGCGGGTCGTTTTGGGGTTCAGGGGGGGCTTTTTGGGCAGCTTGAACGGGGGGGTTTGAAACGGTGGGCTTTGGGTGGGCTTGAGCCTGGGCTTCGGAAGCTTTGGCGGCGTAGGAGATGCCAGGCGAAACTTTGTGTTGGAAGCTGGCTGTCTTGGCTTTTTCTTGCTTTTGGGCAAGGAAGTTTGAGTTTTTGGAGAAGAACAGTAGCTTGCCGGATGGGGACCCTCGCAGTTTATGCATTTAGCCAGGATGTCTCTCGGCTTTTTGCATTCTGTGTAGAAGTGCTGTTGGGCGCACTTCTACACAGAATGTGGCAGATGGGTTTTGCCATCCAGTTTGCCATTGTGTGGCCGAATTTTTGGCACTTCTTGCACTGAGGAATGTGCCTGATGTTTGTTTGGGGATGCCTTTGGGGTTCGATTGCTACTGAGAGGTTTAGGAGGTACTTGACCTCAAATATGCTGGTTTGTTCCTTTGGGAGGAGCATTTTGACCATATTGATCGCCGTTTTGCGGTTACCCATTCTGTAGAATTGAATTTCAGACGGGGTGAAGCCTAGTTCTTTAAGTTCAGACTGGATTTCGGGAAGTGCCATTTGGTTGTGAAGCCCTTTGACAATGGCGATCAACTTTTTGTCTTCGAGGAGGGTGTGAGTGTGGAACTCAATTTTTTCTCGAGCGAGAAGCTTGGTGATGGCTCTGTGGTCATTCGTAGTTTTGGCGCGAATTTAGATGCCCAACGCAACTTTTTTGGGGTCAGTGAAGGTGCAATTGTTTTGCACGAGAAGATTTCCGGCCTTGCTCCATTCCGCAGTGTTCCTAATGACGATAGGAATCGCGGACTTGGGGGGTTGGGGTGCCGAAGTGGTGGCAGGGCCTGAGAGCTGGGGTGCCGAAGTGGCGGCTAGGGCTGGGGCAGCCTGAGGGGCTTTAGCGGGTTGGGGGGCTTGCGCATGCTGGACCATGTGCTCGTGGAGTGCCGGGTTTGATGTCTTGGGGATGTTGAGCCTTGGCTTGGCTTTCAGGGGCGGGAAGTCGTCGACTTCCATCTTTTCGGCTGGGTGGCTGCTGGGGGCTTTTGGGGGGGCTTGCTTGTGTGCCTCGGCGACGGCAGAGAGCAGGAGCGAAATCTTTTGATCTTGCTCGGCAAGTCTTTGGGCTAGCAGTTGATTCTGCTTTTTGAGGGAGGTGACACTCTCCTAAAGCTTGGAATTTGCCAAGCGAAGCGACTATAAACACGACGATAAACACCGCAGAAATCAAGTTTATAAGTCTTTGTGGGGCAAACCTACTGTCGTGTAAAGAGCGACTCCAAAAAGGGTACTTAAGGCGTTCAGGGTAATAGGTGGTCGGTGCGCAAAACTACGTGTTCCAATTCCAATATAAGTAGTAAGTCTTGCTTTTTAGTGGCGGTGGCCTTTTTTAGGAGTGGTGTAGGAGGTGGACATCCCCCATTTGTCAGCTGTCTTCCTTATCTGGCGATCACTGCTATTAACTTACTAATCGAAAATCTTATTCCTTCTAACAGTACTCAGCCCGTTGGCTTTATTCTTAGTAATTTAATGACTTAGGACAATCAAGGGTAGTTTAATTTTAATTTAAGTACAATCAATTAAATATTTCGAGTCTGTTAGGTTACTGAAAAGCTAATTTTAAATTTTCTAATTATGGTTGGGGAATAAAGCAAACCCATTGGCTCTCCCCTTTTCTTTCTAAAATTATTCTCCGATTTAATTCAAAAAAACAACTAAATTGTCTTTAATTATGGAGCCCGTCGGCTGCCATTACGTAACGCTTTTGTGATGGAAAATTCGGTTCATGTTTCAGACTCCTAGATCCCCAGTCGCTTCCCCAATTTCCTCTCTTGGTTTTCCGATGATGAATCTATATTGGTTTATTACTAGACTTCAAATGTTCGAAGGTCAGCTTCATTGACCTCGTTTTTTTTAATGAGGTTTGAGAAATCTGTTTTGCTGACTACCCAGGCTGGTGTTCTGGCGCCTGGGGGTGTGCCGGGATGACATTTCATCAGGAAGCGACGAGCGGCTAAAACTCTCCTCTCTGCTAGTATCCCCCAGAACCGCCTAAAAGGCATTATTTTGAGGGTTTGCGTATTTTAAGTAGTTGCACCCCTTGATCTTGTTCTTTCTCATCTTCTTTCCTCTTCAGCTTTACTGCCCATTATTGCCTCCAGCACTTGCATCACTGCGGTCCAGAACGTTTGGTTTACCATAAAAAATAAACCAATACCTATAGGATTTCGCCGATATTTGTAATATTTATTCGGGTGTTGCACCTGGCTTCTGCTTCCTGTCTTATTTCATCAAATTCTGTGCATTCAAATATTGTGTGGTCTGGCGTATCTACCGATTCGCAGAACCAGCAGACATCACTACTTTGCCACTTGATTCTTTTAAGGTAGGAGTCAAATACTCCGTGGCCTGTGCATGCCTGTGTGCAGTAGTAGTTGGTGTTACCGATCTGATGTTCCGTCCATTTGGTGACATTTGGGATGAAGGTTTTTGACCAGCCTGCGTACAGCTCCCATCTGTTTTGCCAAAGCTTCATCGTGTTTATTATGGCATCCTTTTTGTACTCCTTCCCGTTTTGGACTATATTAATCCTCTCCTTCGCCAACAGCTCTATAGGCCTCAATTGCAACAGGTGCAGTTTCGTATGCTGAAGTGATTAGTATCGCTAGTTTTCTGTTTAGGGAGGCCAGTAAGTTAGTATAGTGTTTGCATTTAAGTGCTCCGTGCCATATTTGCGCTTCGTACATCGTTGCAGATATTACAGAAGATGCCAATAGCATCCTTCTGTTCCTTGCATCAGGGTCACCTATATTTGGCATGATCCTATACAATAAGGATGCCATCATCTTTACCTTTTCCACCGTCAGCTTTATATGCGTGGTCATCCTCAGATTTCTATCCATGTAGACCCCTAGATACCTTACATACTCGGAAGTGGTTATATGGTTGTCTTCAATTAGTAATGTGTTCAATTAGCTATTCAATGTTCTTGTCGGAGACATTAGAGTATAATTTAAACCTTATCAATTAAATTCCAAGTCACTTCTAAAATATCGGCAAGGTAGTTGACCGAAGGGCGATTTCTTCGGGTTGCGTTAGTCTAAAAATAGATGCAACCTAAGATCGGCTAACAATAAACCAGGAATCCCTAACTCCACCAAAAGGGGTCGTTTTGGGTCTTTTCGAACGACCAAGTATAGTCGCATACAAGACATTGCATGAGCAGTTTCTCTGCAACGGGTGAAATTTACTATCATTTGAAAACACTATTCAATTGTTTAGCCATCAATTAGCTAGCAATCAAGATCTACGTATAATTGTATAATTGTGGTCAATGTAACATTGTGTAACCGACTACCTAAGTTCAAGTGCCAACCAGTGCAGTGAAACCACCACCGGTAACATTGATAGCATTGCTGGGGGTGTGTGAGCTGCAGTGAATAGTGGGTATTTCCAGGTGAATGCATCCTGGTAGAAAAATTCAGATGTTCGTGCATTCTCCCTGTACTGACGTACGGTCTGGAAGCCATGACTAACCATCAAAACTTCAAACAAACTGACAGTCACTCAGAGGGTCATACTCCTCCTCTAGTATTGACTGTCAAAGTTCGTTGAAAAAAGTATATCTTTTGAAATATCGGGATAATGATTCGATGGATTTTAATAAAACTCGAAACTCGCAGGAAATTTGTTCGCATGCAAGACTTTTTTTGTCCGCGGAATAAAATTCTTCTTTTCATAAAATCTTGTAGCATGCACGGATTCTGAGCAAACAAATTATTTCTGTTTCTTAAACAATTTTATAGATGTAATCCATTGCATTCTCATATAAAAACGAGTTATTAAGTTTATAAGGACCGCTTGTTTAATAATTGATTGTAAGTATTATAAGTTCAATAACTCATTAACTCAAGCTCATTTCAAAGATACTTTTTGTGTTGGATATATTCTAGTGTGGTGGTCTTTGTTGGCCGTGAATACTCAACAATCTTACCTTCTTGTAATAGTTTGGTGTCAGCAGCTTGACCATTCTCAAAAATCCTTTTCACGTAAATTCCCATTGGTCCCTTGGATGAATCTTTTCCTCCAACAATTGTAAATCCCAGACTTTTTCTTCCAGGCCCTTTGCTGAATGTGATAAACCTATTGAAGTTGTTATTATGTTTAAATGTTGCCGTTGAAGCTGCGATACTTTTAGGTAGATCAGAATTACTCGAAGATAGGAAGGCAAATTTTATCATTCCGGATGGCTGTGGAGCGTTACAATTGCTTAAATATTTTTTGAGCTCTGGAGGAGTTCTGCATGAAGAGTTTTTATCCATTTGACGTGGATTAATGCTTTTCGGAGAAGTAATTTTTGGTTGAAATCTGTTTTGTGCAGAAAAATGAGCGTTAGATATCTCATAATGGTCTTTTATCGTCTGGTGTGATGTTGGTGTCTCAAAGAAACTGTCGCTTTCAGTATCTTCACTATTTGTCGCTTTACTTTCTCGGTTAGAGTTAGTGTTTAGAATTTGCGATAAAAGTGCAAATGTATTTGGATCGCGTGTTGACGATGAGTGCTGAGGTCGCACATTATGTGCTTCAAAAGTAGATGGATGGTGAGTGAAGTCTTTTTTGTCTCCTATCTGATTAGTTAGGTTTTTAATATTTTTATTGTTGGAAGCTCCGGTAGAAGGTATGCGGTTAACATTATGTACAGGTCTTCGAAGATGTTTCAATGTGTCACTCTCATGCTGGGTTTTTTGACTGCTAAGTTGTGACTCTGATTGTTTGGCAACATAATTATCTTGATAGTTCCTGAGGTTGGAATTCACGTACGGTTTTTTAAGACGTTTGCTGTTTGGAGAAGCTTTATCATTAACAAGATTGCTAAGTGAGATTTGAGATGTGCTTTTAAAAATCAATGAATAGTTGGGGTTATCTGTCTCTCGTTTAGTATTCATTATCGATGGCGTCCTGAACAGGTTTTTAAAAGAGTTTGAACGTTTTGCATTAACTTTAATTTTTTGAGAAGTTCTGGAAATTATGGATTTCAAGTCGTTGTTGATGGGCGTGAGATGATCTTTTCTGTTTTCTATTTCATCTCTCTCTTGCACCTGTTGATTCCTGAAACAATCATCTTTATTAATTAATTTAAAAAAACCGAATTTCTTATGCGTTTGCCAAAGGCTGATTCGTATACACATGAACAACTCAAAGATCAAGTGATCATACAAAATGTAAGTCATGGACGGCACCAACCTTTTTTAAAATGGGACTAAAAACCGTGAACACCAACGCTAACAACAATAACCATTCGTCCCTTTCACAAGAACATTTAAACAAATACTCATATATTTACAAGCAAATGAAAATAATCATTCACCCTCCTGCAAATGAATATAAAATTACGTCTCTGTGTTCTGGTGATTCGCGTCATCAATTGTTGGGCGGTGTTACAATTAATGGGCCGACAAAGGCACTTTTTTATCCGTTGCGGCTAGTTGCCAAAAATGATATGAGATAACGATTTTTCTTCTTGGAAAACGGTGAACGGAAAACGAATACCCGAATATTCGTTAGATATTCGAGTATTTGAATAATTTTATAAATAATAATAATAAAAAATGCCGAGCACTACTGTAAAACGTAAGTAAATAACGAAACCAATAAATTCTAAACGACCACCAAAGTGGACATAGAAGCCGTGCAGATAAAGGTTGACATTACAGTAGCGGTAGGATATCATGCGGAACTATTGGGGACCGTTTCAAGGGCATCGCCCGTCAGTTTTAAAGGGAAGATTTTATGTACAAAAGCTGACCCAATTTCCGATCATCCTATTCAAGTACGTCGTTCTACCGCCCAACGAGAACTTTCTCAAATTCGTAGAACTCAGGGCTTGAGCTTATTACAAGCTCCTCCCTACGCGAAGAATCTGGGGAAAATTTGACTCAAACTCCACCCAACCTGGGGGTGGGAATCTGTCAATAAATAAGGGTGAAATCACGGGCAGTACTGTTCTCGAACACTCCATTTTGTGCAACCATTCGGAAGTGAACCGTCGTTCAAGGTGCATCACTCCATGTGTGCTGCTTTAAACATTATCGTGGAATATTTGAAATTACAAAAGTGCTGAAAATCGTGGTGCATTGCACGGATCAGAGAATAGTGGTGCGTTTGGCACGAAACGTGTGCGCGGTGCAGTACCACGGATCGGCAAATCGCGGTGCATATAGCACGGATCGCGCCAAATAGACTCACTCACTGAGAGCAACAGAGAGCTGATGCTAATCGTAAGAGAGCTGCGAGAGTCCATAACGGCTCTGAGAAATGACATTCAGAACCTGAAAATGGCCGAAAATGGCAGAAAAACCAGCATGACGGCGCGGCCAGCAATGAAAATAGTCGCAAAGCCAACAAAAGTGGCCCAAACAGCCTCCAAGAAGACAACACTAGTAGAAAAAACCAACAAGAGGAAATTCGAAGACGATACGGCCGAAGTCCCGGTCCCCAAAAAAGCGGGATCAGAGACCGTTATAGAACCCGAAACAGGCATGGAGGTGGAAAACCCCAATAAGCCAAATAGCTATACAGATGTAACATGCAAAATCCCACCGGTCAATGTCAAGGGCCATGAGCAATGGACCCAGTTGGTAGCCCATCTGGAAAAAGAAGGCATCAATCTGGAAAAATCAGCGATGACCAAAGAGGGGTACAGGATGTACCCGAAAACCGCAGCAGATTATCGCAAACTAACACAGGCACTGGAAGGGAAAAAGGAGTACCATACTTACTCCCTTCCAGACGAAAAATTGACCTACGCAGTCATAAGAGGGCTACCCACAGACAGCGACCTGTCTTCACTGGAGAGTGAGCTGGAGAGCATGGGCATTGAAGCCACGCTGCATGCCATGACCAGCAGAAAAACCAAACAAAAGCTACCACTCATCATGGCAAAGACAAAAAACAACAAAATATTTGATGTCACCCGACTTAACCATCTGGTCATTCGAGTGGAGATCAAACGCAAAGAAAAGGGACCCAGGCAATGCTGTCGGTGCTAGAGATATGGCCATGCCCAATCAAATTGCCATTACAAACAGCGCTGCGTTAAGTGCTCAGAGGAACACGACGCATCCCACTACACTCTCCAAAAACCCGCCGAGGGCGAGAGAAACGCCAAAGGCGCGCTGTGCAATGAAGCCGGACATCCAGCCAGCTGGAAAGGGTGCCCGATGTACCCACGGAAAAAGCTGCATACACAACAACGGACAGTGACACGCAACRCGACAAAGGATAACACCAAGAACGCCCTGGAAAGTAGGATCCTGAGCCGAATCACTGCTAATCTAAGCGAGATTATCCGAGCGGCCATCCACGAAAACCATGCGCGATAGGCCAACATCGCTAACAATCGCATCCTGGAATGTCAATGGACTGAGGGCTAGACGCATGGAGAAAGAAAATTTCCTCGCTGAATACAGCCCAGACGTAATGGCGTTACAAGAAACTCGGATACCAAAGGCAACCAGAGCTACTTTCCAGAACTATGCATTCTACATTATTCTCGTTAAGCGCCAAATAAACCACCAATTCTTAGGAATCAATGATACTGAGGCAGATGCAGTCACAGTCGAAATAAACATGCAGCATGAACAGCTTCAGATAACTTTAATATACAAACCACCCTCGGACCAAGTAGACCCGGAAGATATCGCCGACCTACTCAGAGGACAGCATCCCCGCATCATAATTGGCGATCTCAACTGTAAAAACCCTGCATGGAACAGCAGACAATACAACAGAGAAGGCAGAAGACTAGCTGACATGGTCGAAGCACAGGGAGCAGTAGTTATAGGCCCAGAAGAGCTAACATACCTACCAGCTGGCCGAGGACTCCCAGAAGTACTGGACGTCGCAATCCTAAAGAACGTAGGACACCTGACGACCATCAATGCAATAAACGATGTCTCATCCGACCACAACCCAATTATGCTAACGTTGGGCAACATCACGGGAATTACTGACACAGCCACTAAAAGCAGAACCAGCTGGGAACAGTTCAAGCGGCAAGTAAACAACTTAGTTAACATCCCTGTAATCGAAAACGCAGAAGAACATGAACAGGCAACAAACGAGCTTGAAGTAGCAATTCTCCAGGCACACAGCTCGAGCACCATGATCATAATAGAGCCCAGGTCCAAGCACCCCTATGGCGAGCCGCCCCCCCATATCAAGAGGCTCATACAAACACATCGAAGGCTTAGACGAGCCTACAAAAACGTGCCAAACAGCGAGAACAGGCAAGCACTGAATCAGAAAGGTCAGCAGCTCAGAAATGCCCTAAGAGACTTCCGAAGCAAAAAATGGGACGAAAAGCTCAAGGAACTAAACCCAGAAGACCAAAGCCTCTGGCGCATGCAACGCAGCCTACGGAACGAGAAACCCCACATTCCGCCACTGCATGGCGCAAATGGGATTGTATATACTAACCAGGACAAAGCAGAAACCTTTGCAGACACCCTGGAAAGGGAGTAAAGAGAAAACATACACCCTGCAGAAGATGAAGAGCACGAGAGACAAGTGCGAAGAACAGTGAGAGACTTGCGGCAGGCAGTAGAAATAGAGGAAGCCAAACCAACATCCCCCAAAGAAATTGCAGGCATCGTCAAATGCCTGAAACGAAGAAAAGCACCCGGCAAGGACGGAATCACCAATGTGATGCTCAAGAACCTCCCGCAGAAAGGAATAGTAGCCATCACCAACATCATTAATGCTGTCCTGCGAACCAGGCACTTTCCCAGCAGCCGGAAGCAAGCGGACACACTTATGTTTAGTAAGCCCAAAAAAGACAAAGTGATGCCACAAAACTACAGGCCGATAAGCCTCCTGCCAACTATCAGCAAGGTCGCCGAAAGAGTGATTCTCCGAAGACTCAAAGATGAGGTCGAAGGACTGAAGCTCCTCCCTCCAGAGCAGTTTGGGTTTAGAAACAAGCACTCTACTGAACTGCAACTACTCCGAATAGTAGAGCAAGTATCACACAATGCTGACAGAGGACTCACCACTGGAATGCTGCTACTAGACGTAGAAAGAGCGTTCGATAGGGTCTGGCATGATGGCCTAATCTTCAAAATGGTAGATTCAGGCATCTCCAAGCGCATGTGCCAACTAATGGACAGCTACATCCGCAGAAGGAGGTTCCAAATTAAAATCGACCAAGCCAAATCTAGTGGACGAACACCAGAAGCGCGAGTCCCCCAAGGAGCAGTGCTGTCCCCACTCCTATATAACATATACACCCACGATATTCCGAAGCCAACGAGAGCCTCCATAGCACTGTACGCCGATGATACAGCCATCCTAGCAGCCCACAAACGCAAAGACATAATTGCTAAAAATCTCCAAGCTGCCATAGACCAGATATGTGATTGGTTTATCCTCTGGAAAATTAAGATCAATTCCGGAAAAAGGCCATTTTCCTGGGACGAAAACTGGACACGTGCACCAAACGAATAACCATAGAGGATAAAGAAGTCGCCTGGACCAGTACCATCAAATACCTGGGGGTTATCCTAGACCAGCGACTTACGTACCAACATCACATACAGGCAGTTGTGGTCAAGGTGCATTGCCCAACTCTACTCGCTGATGAACAAAAAAAGCCAGCTCAGCCTCAAAAATAAACTCACGCTGATAAAAGCTATTATACGACTAGCGGTACTGTACGCCTCAACTGCGTGGGGGCACGCAGCAGACACTTCAATCCACAGAATCCAAGCCATGGAAAATAAGCTGTTGCGGATGGCGCTTGACGCACCCTGGTTTGTCAGGAACGCCCAAATCTATAGAGATCTGGAATGGAAACCCTTCAGACAAGCCCTGAAGGAGAAGGCAGAAGCAACATATCGGAGAGCAGAAGAACACCCGTACGAGGAACTCAGAAAATTCGTAAACTACGACGTTGAAGCCACTTCCGCCCGGATAAAGCGACCCAGACATCAGCTAGCGCAAGTGCAGTGACTGTGATTAGTGAATAGACACAAGGTCACACCGCGGACACTCAAGGACGCTTAAGTGAAGTTTGGGAAGTGTATACGACACGGGACATACAAACGAGACTG